CCTGTTTCACTTACTTACAACAGTATATTACAGCCTGCAAAAAAAAAAACCCCGTGGTAGTCAGGGGACGAGCGATGATAACGCAATCAAGTGTTACACGATATTTGCATTTTCAGAAGGGTGCCTTTGCTGTCTTTTAAAAGGAACTCAAATGACCACTTTTTAAAAGCTGCATTATTTTTTAGGTTTAATGGACCATATGGATGTGCAGGTGTGTCTTTAACTTATTTTAACCTTATTTTCCAAATCTTCAGCACATTGTCTAATAGATGTTATTTTATTCATATTTGGGAAGAGAACAACATTAAGAGTCTGGTGTTGCCAGAACAGTGGCAGAGATTTGTATTGTGGAATTTAAGGGATCAAACAGCCTCCTGTAAGGAAACATTAATTCATTATGTTTCTCTACTTTTTGAATGGTGAATTGCAATGGAGAGACATCTACTCGTTCAGTTCATTTTACTCAAGCGAAATGGGGCTTAGTATGGACAACTGCAAAAACATAAGTCTGCCTTGAAGCATATTTACGGTAGGTAGCATGGATAAAGGCTGAATATGATAAAGGCAAACACTGAAATCTTTAATCAAACTACTCAGTGACAATAGCTTGAGGGGTGGTGTTTTAAAATCATCATTCAGCATCTTGAACATTTTGTAGTAATGACCTATTAGGAAAACTACTGCACACTCTCTCTTGTCTTATTATCTGAACCTTACTCTGATAGAGACACTAAAATAAAGAATGTAGTTACTATCAAGTGCAAATGATACTGAATCTTGTTTAAACCCTGTAGGGTCCTTGTGAAGTAAGAAGAGGAAAGTTCTGATTTTCAGTGGAAACTGAAGGAATTTTCAACATAAAATGGATTTTGACATTTCCTGTGAGAATTTAAAGATGATATCAAAAATGCATTTTTGTAAAATCCTTGTCTGCTCCCTCAAATGCAAAAAATGTAGATTTAAACAAACTTTACCAAGCAACAAGTTGGTACGAGTTCACTTTTGCCTGTTTCTGTCTTTTTGTTTGGATACATTTGAATTGTTTCAAGGATAAATGTGACTTAATTTGAACTCTGAAAGGCTCATGAAACCTCAGGTTTTTTTTGTATCACTTGCAAGAACATCATCATAGATTAAAAGTAAAATACAATTCTGGATTACATTGATTTTAGCTTTTCTAGTGTTTGAGCAGAAATTCAACTCCACTGATGCTGGAAAGATATCAATAAATGTGAAACACAATATGCAACACAAACACAGTACAGACTGTTGTGTATCCAGTTTTTCTTCTTATTTTGTGGGAATGTGATATCAAAGTGATAATAATGTGAATATTTTTGAGGAGTTTCCCTCGAGCTGTTCGCACTCAGCCCCTCTCAGCTAATCAGCAACCGACAGCCTGAATCCGTTTTTTTTTTTTTAAATTAACCTCTTCATTGCTGCTTCTGAGTCACAAATTAAAACAACACTGCCCACTGAAATCAAAGTATAAGGCTCCAAGAACTTTTATAAAAGTAATCATTTTTTAATTAATTTTCATTTAAGGCAATCCAATACAAAGCATTTCACAACCCACCATATGACAATAATCATGTACAATAAAAACCCATTTAAAGGAAAGTAGGGAGTCATGCAAATCAGAACCCAAGAGATATAAACAACAAAGAGAAACTGTGGGATTAGACAAAAAAATAAATGTAAAAAATATGTTAACTGTAACATGCTAATTAGCTACAGTTTTTTAACCACTGGTGAGACAAGAAATGTTGGAAGAACCAGGCACAAGAGAGAAGAAATAGCAAACAGTCCACAGAGCTTACTGCCATGTTTGGCACAGACATGCATGTAATCTGGTTGGGCTGGTTCCTATTTTACAGATGGCGGCACCGTGTGTGAAACACTCTCACTGTACCCCAAGAAAACATGCAGTCGATCCATCACTCTAGTATAAACCGGGGCTTTAAGAGGGCATGAAGTCACTGTCCATGACATGGACAGCAGGAGTGATGGCGTGTTCAGACACACTCCAAAAATAAATACATAAATAAATAAATATCTTCAGTACAGTGATATTCCCAAAAATATAGCAAACATATACAAGAAGCACTCCTCATGAGGATAAAGTGCTGATGGGATCTATATGCAAACCAGTTGGTAGCATTACACTTCTCATTCTAACAGAAACCCGCTCTTATCTTTTCAATCTTAACTGTTTCCTCTCTTACACTATATAAAGATCTTCAGGCAAATTGCTGTTTGGCATTTTGACCACCATTTAACACCAACTAATTTTCTCTCTTCCTCCCGAGAACCACACTTGTCCACCTGAACTGCTTTTCAATACAGGAATAAATGAGATGGAGCGACTGCCTTTCATGTCATTAAGGCCTTTAGTTTGCTACATTAGACATTTGACTAGAACCCTTTCAGCTCAGACTAATTCTGCCTCTGCCTTACTTTGTCAGTTTAAAAGGAAAGGACACCTTTTACAGTCCATTATCATCATTGTAGCAATGTTTTATTTACTATACACCAGTGAGGGGAACATGAAGGTTAGGTAGTAAACAAAACCAAGTGAAACAGGAATAATTAAAAGAAGAAGAATGGCTGCGGCAAAACAGCAACAACAATGGAAAAAGTGGAGCTAAATATTCATCAACATGCTAACATGCTCACAATAATGACGCCAACGTGCTGATGTTTAGCAGGTAATGTTCACCATCTTACTTTAACGTGTTAACATGCCATTAGTTTTGAAAGCATGTAATCACAAGCACAATGGGAACCATGAATGTGTGAATCAGATTTAGCAACAATCTGTCCAATAGTTGTTGAGATATTTCAGCTTTAGAATAAACTGGAAGTGGAAAATGAAGGATCTGCATCCGACAGAAATCCATTTCATGCAGTGCCTGCGTCTGCTTTCAGTTTTCCTCTTAAATTTAGTCAAAGCTTAGAGTAGAAAGGCTATTGATGTAGCTAACGTACTATGTCAATATAAACAACGAGAAACAAAACAAACCGGGAAGAAACAGTGTAACGAGATCTGAGTGGTATATTGTATTCTCTAACTTTACCAAAACCTCTCCTCGTAGCTGTTACAATCCTGTATGTACCCTGTGGCCTTACTGAACTAGAGGATGAGATCCTTTCACATGAGTCATACGCTATCATTGTGCACAGCTACATCTCATATCAAAAGCTTCTTTACTTACGTAGTAAAATTGTATTTGCTACGTGGAAGCCACTTGCTTTTGTCTCTTCAAACTGAACGGACGTCACAGGTGGTAGGAGGCCGCAGAAAGCCAAAGTAATGAATGCAGTGAAGCTCTGGAGACCACGTGTGAACTGTCTCTCACCAGAGACTTGTAATACACTGTGGCAAGGTCAGTGCTGTATTAAGTGAATTCTTGAGAGGAGCACTGGCTGTGATGGTACAGACTTACAGTGTGAACTTTATGACAGCGGAGGTTATGTGGCTGCTGATGTGTGGCCGCTGGGGGCTCACAGATTTCCAGTGACATGGAAGTCTCTGGCTTGCTGAGGTGGTGTGTGTGTGTGTGTTCGGCCATGGGGCAAAAATTAGCAATGAGCCCTTTAAATTACTGGCCACCTCACCAACTTTTCCAACCTATTTACCAGTGTTCCTACGTTGTAAAACCACCCTTCCCCAAAGTTTGCTGTATGTCGATTAGACTGTCATATTTTGATTTAACAGAAATGTATAATCTGTCCTGAAATAAGAGCAGTATTATATTATATTAGATTTTGACATAACTGACTACAGACAGGTCAGGTCATCAAATGGCAAAAAACATCAGGCTCTTATTATTTCTGTTTATACTGTGCTATAGTGGTGTAATATATTTTGTATTACTTCACTTAACAAAATCAATAATATACAATGTTTAGAGGGTTAAAGGGGTTAAAAGGTTAAAAGTGTTTACTAGTGTTTTATTAGTTAATGCTCTATTTGTGCAACATCCCCTGTGATGGGAACGTGTCTGGATTGAATTAGGACCCTAAACATACCTGTCTCAAACAATCATTTTTATGTTGACTTGCATGAATAAACTGAGTACCTTGTTCAGAAGTATAATGAATAGCAGCACTCAAAAGGATTAAATATGATAAACCTGGTATCATCATCATAATTGTTAGTGTAGAGACAGTTTGTGCTTCTTGTATGCAATAACTTAAAAATAATTGGTGACCACTTCAAAATGGATAAAGTTTATGGTATTCAAAACAGATCTATCAAATGTCCATGCCACTCTGAATAACATTCGAGAATAAATATACTGGATATGGGGAATTAAATTCTCAAACAACATGCTCTTATAAACATTTAGTTAATAAAGAAGATAGGAGGTGATACCTCACGGTATGAAAAGCCTGATTGATGTTTGACGTAATAAACTATAAACTTCACACCTGTAGTTTTTCCTCCATCATAACTGATGCATTAGCAGATACGTAGATAATCCCCAAGTATAAAAACTAATTCCAGAAGAGAAAAAGGTGCCTAAAAAATATCACTGCATTAGGCCACACAAATGACTGACGAGCAAGGCTTAGGTCAAAGATCACATGTCCTGATACACTTAGAGAGAAACAACCACAGACAGGCACAAGTTTTAACCACAACATGACCTTTTCGAACCAACCTGCTGTCGAATTAGATGTGAAACAGTCACTGCCTCAGTGTCGATTAAAAGGCTTTCACCAACGAGTCCCTTAAAGACTGCAGCCTCTCCTCAAGAGAAACCAGCCAAATGAACATATCACAGATAAACAAAAACAATAAAAAAAACAAACAAACAAAACGCTTCTCCAATTGTCACTGGGAGGATACGGCACAAAATTCAACACCCATTTCCTGGTGCCTCATCTCCTGTTTGCACCAAAAAACAGGAGGTAGCGAGTTCTCCCTGGACTCTGAGTGGCCGCTGCATGCTGTCAGTCCTCAGCGGGATGGGGGGGGGGGGGGGGGGGGGGCTTCAGATCTGTGGGTGGTGATGTGTGTGTCCAGGTGGTGTGTAGGGAGGTGGCGCCGGGTTGGGTTTGATCCCTCTGCTTTTCATGTAGGAGATGAACTGGTCAGGGATCTCTGCTAGCACGTCTTTGGCGAGCCGTGCCATGCTTAACACGTGGTTGCCTGTCCGGTCCATGTAATCTCTGAAGGGAACAAACTGAGGGAAAAGAGGTGAAACTGTGACATACACTTTCACAACACATCTAGGATTTTTGGACTACTGTTGTGATTCATGGAAAGCTCACAATACTTTTTAACAATGTACACAAGTAGGTTTTAGGAGCAGTGTTGTATACTGATTGGAAAAATCCAAAGGGATCATGTTTAAGCCCCAATGTTAGTCAACATTTGCGGATCCTGTCAGCTTTAGGATGCTGCTCTGTCACTAATCCTTTGCTCTGGCTTCCCTTGGGAGTGAGAGGAAAGAAATCAGCCCAAGTGGAAAGATAAATCATACTTATCCCCACTAATTCAGTTCTTTGAATTTTTACGTCTTTTGTATTATTTGTCATAGCACATCAAGGAATTGTTAAGCAGCCACCCAAACCCTGACACATCTCATCTCGCAATCAATCTAATTAGTAGATGATGGCCAAAATATTTGGCAATGGCCCACTTCCACTATAAAACACTACATCGCTTTTTCACTTACTCTTGGGTTTTGACACCACAGAAACAGAAAGGTAATGAGTCGGTTGAAACAGCTTGATAGTTTTGTGAATAAGACACATCAAGTTTCCTAGAGTGACACATAATACAAACTTTTTAGTCTTGCAGGAACCACACAGATGTCCTAATCTGTCAGATTTTCAAATGCTAACAGATGGTGCTTAGTCAGAAACAGGCACTTTAATGTACCAGCCCAACTGAGATAACAGTATGAATGTAAAACGCATAACATGAAACAGTAAATACTGTATATGACTTGATAAATTATAGCTTGATGAACATTTCTTGTCTGTACTGTATCTGGATGTGGTTTTGGTGGAGATGTCTGAGTTATTCCTTTAAATTCAGTGAACTTTGACCCCACACTTCCCTGGTCTTGTTTCCTTAATATCTGCAGGGAATACAGTCAAAGTCTCTTTCAAACTGTGAAGGGCAGTCACCTGAACAATGTCTCTTTCTGCTAGTTTCCCTCGGGATGAGATCCTGATGTCATCACCATCCAGCTCCACCATAGCTGCAAGGCACAAGTTCACACACACACACACACACACACACACACACACACACACACACACACACACACACACACACACACACACACACACACACACAGAGTGATAACCAAGCAGGGGGAACCGATATTATACAGTGTATCATATTAATGCCATACCTTTTAGCTTTAGCATCAGTAAAAGAGAAAGGCTGTTGAGCTGTGCAGCTGTAATCTGTCTTCATTGCACGTCTAATCAACTAATAAGTCCTTTGTTATCTTCTCTGTGCAATTTAGAACCATTGCACTAAACACTGCAAACCCAGCAATTAACCTCAGCCATTTCTTCTACAATTATGCCTGCATCCACCTACGCAATCACCTCTCTACCAACTCAAATGAGTTTGTACAGTAATTTTCTCTTGGGTATTTCTCCGAATTAGTGCTACAGAGGTAAGTACTAGCTCTAAGCGAGTGTGAGTATGAATTACAATGTTAATAACTGGGTCATGTATTAATATGTTTTACTGACTTTATTAATGTAGATGGTATTAAGAAATATCTGATTATAACACAGCAGAAAATTTAGAAGATGTTTTTTTTTTTTTTTAATATTACATCTTAAATGTGCCTGCAGTATACAATTATCAGAATATTTGAGAATTGTGACCATGCAGTGGTTAAAAAAAAAATTTGTCTACGTACCGTCAAACTCAGCCTGACCCACTCCAACTATGATTATGGACATAGGAAGCTTGGCACCCTGCACAGAAATCAGAATAGAATAAGTGAAAAAACACACACAAATACACATTTCTATTATTTGACAAGGGGAAAGAAGCTTGTCCACATCACCACTGACCTGTAATGCTCATTACTGCATATCAGACATGATGGCAGTTACATGCTCACCCATGTAGGTTACAACCTCACTAATGTTCTGTATCACCCTTAAACTAGCTGAATGACCTTTTCTGTCTCCAGAGAGAGAAAAGAGGGTGAGTTGGAGACAGGAAGTCCATTTTGGTTTTGCTTTTCTTATCCCAGGTGTTTTTTATGTCCCTGAATCCAATTTTTTTTATCAAATAAATGTTCCTCAGTTCTTATCTTGGGATAACACTCTCTGTGTGCACACTGAATGCTGGTTGTCAGGCTCAGGAGTGGAGATTAAACTCACTGACAACACCCCTGAGAGACTGGGCCAGTAGGGCAGTAGTATCAGTACTGAAGCTCTGTCGATGGCTAAAAAACACTAAAAAGCAATCTGACCATAAGCTGACTTTTCATATAAATGCAGAATTAGAACTAGAATTATCCCATCCTGGTTTGACAAAATGCTAACCTGCTAAACATCCTAAACAACCATGTATTAACATTATAAAGTCCAAGAAGCAGGTTGAGGCCATGATAAGGTCGTACATGGCAGGGGATGGATGACGGTATTTGTGAGCCAGGAGAGGAGGGAGAGGGAGGAGGTGCCAGCTTCAGTCAGTACAGCAACCATCCTCAGTTACCTGCCCAGCCACTCCCAACCACGCCTCAAGTCACATAACATACTCTACTGTCTCTAAACTAAAGATGCTTTGATAGCATTTTTTCCTTCCTGATACCTATCCCAATACCTGAATTTGTGCATCAGCTGATACAGAGAACTGATCCGATACCATTGTGTTAAAAAAAAATTTCAACAGCTGTATACTACTAACCCTGTACGGATGTGATACGATTACTGTCGGCATGGCTCAGGCTAAACCCTTTGTAATACATGAACAGATACATCTCTCTTTTATTATGTAATTTGACTGTTAGTCATAAAAAGGAAGGAATAAATAACAGTTCCTACACTAGGTGTCCTAACACTTGTGCCATCCCTCGAACTTAAAACAGCCCCTCAAAAACAGTTGCCAGTTTCTGCACAGTGCAACTTCCTGTGTATGGTAATGTTTTAGAGTGGTGAAGAAGAATTGGTTTCCAGGAAAACTGCCTTTTCATCTTGGTGTGAAACTATGAAGTTTAACAATATATTACATGGTATTGGATTGTGTGTAGACTCACCAATACCCAATACAGTGTTTCTGAAGGTATCAGAGGCATTTCTGATACTCGCATCAGTATCGGAACAACTACTCTAAACAAAGGCAAAATGGGAAATCTATCAATAGAAACAGGAGGAGACACCAACATTCATGAAACACGCAGGGCTGGTAAATATTTTGACATTATAATGTATTGACTTTTGATGGTATTACATTGTGAGACTGTGGTGTTACTGTGTTTTTCAAATTACTGATTCTACATATTGTAATTAAACAAGACTTAGAGCCATGCTAGGACCTCTGTGAGGGTGTAAGTAGGCACAGTGACGCTTTGAGCTAAATGCTAAGGCCAGCATGCTAACATGCTCACAGTGGCAATGCTAACGTGCTGATGTTTAACAGGTATAATGTTTACCATCCTAACTTAATGTGCTGTCTGCTATCATTTGCTTAGCATTAAGCACAGATTACAGCTGATGCCAATGGGAATGTCATTGGTTTTGCAGGTGTTTGGTCATAAAGCAAAGTAATGGGCAAATTAAAAATGATCTGATGATGACAATAGATGAAACAGTTGCGACATAGATATCTGTCTGAATTATTAATTTCTGTACATCCACATTTATTAGATTATGTAGGATTCTTATGAGTAAAATAAAAAATGTTGATAGTCTGACTGGTTGCACTCAAGTTATTTTCTTTTAATTCTGCCTGAGTGGCAGTGACTGCATTTCTCTCTGGCAGGCCATGTTAGTGCCTGTTGTTTTAATTTCCAGATCAATGGCAACATAAATGCTCAATGCAAAAGCTGCAATTATGTATAATGAGTTTCCTGCAGTCACATATTTTTCACAAAGCCGTTACAACAAGTGCAGTTTTATCTCCGGCACAAGACAAATGTACTGTGGCAAATCAGGCAACCTCTTATTGCCACAGGGATGAAAGCCGTTTTTGTCGACACCACGTCAGCAGCAGCACATCAGCGCTATTATCAGTGTTCAACACAACTCCTGTCAGTGCCTGTCCTCCCACGCACACGCACACATAAACACACACTTACAGGCATACGTGTGTGTGTGAGCATATCTGAAGACATACGAGCACATCAGAACATCAAATGCCACCAAAAATAACCTGGCAATCCACCATGCCCCAGTTTTGCCTTTCTCCTATCACCCTGACTGGCAGCTGCGATCCAGTCTAATGAGACAATAAAACAAAGTGTCAATCAACACTCATTACTCCAACAACTCAGTGTGTTTTTGCTGTTTAAACCCAAACGTTATGCATGTGCATGCTTTGATGGGTCTGTGTGCTTGCAGGTTTATGGATAAGTGTTTGGAGAGGTGACTGTCCTGTCCACACAGAGGATCATCTGAGTCATTAGATCATATCTCTTCTTGGCAGTCTCAGAGCTCAGCTCAGAGAAAAGCTTAAGGCAGTAGACTGAGGACACACAGAAACCAGCTATTACTTAAAACAGATAATAATCGTTAGCTGGTATAAGAGTAGCACATCCAGTTGTTATAATAAAATATCAGGAATAATCAGCCACTGTCATACACAGTCCCCTGCCCTTCACATCTTGACAGAAATGATTTAATGTGAAAAAAACACTGTTAATGTTTAATAATATTTGTTAATGCTGTCACATAGTTTACTCTCCATAATCACACTGAATTAATAGTAAACATCCAGATTATTTTGTTGATCATCTCCATCAGTATAGCCTCAGTTTCTTTAGATGCACTGCTTCAATTATTTTACTTTAATAACTTTAACCGTGAATCACCTATACCATATTTTTCTGTTAATACAGGAAAACACCCAGTGAGTATACGCCTCGGCAAAGACGGCACAGTTCTTTAACTTTGTCATTAATATATCAGAAAATATATATTTTTCTTTTACATCAGCAACTAAAGCACATAGTGTCATAGTGAAGCTGCTGCTAGCTAATGGGACAATTACAAATGATAATGATAATGACCCTGGTTAAAGAGTAATTGCTAATATAGGTACTACATTTAGCCATACATGTGCGGAGGGCCCTGAATTAGTAAATTGGTAACTTGTTAATGTTGGCAAATGTCTGTGAAAACGGACACTAATGTAAGAGGAGTGACAGTGGAGGTCAGATGAATGCTCACCTTTATGACTGCTTTTGTTGACTCACATTTTAATTGCAACTCCTCCTCCCCTGTGTGCTTGAGTAAGTAAGCCTACTGAAACAACTGACTGTTCACTAAACCCCTCCCTCAAACAGTAATTGCCCAATCACAGCTTGGCAACTGTTACTAGTTACAGCTTACTTGTCAGGATTTGGATTTCTTCACATATTGAAGTGTTGTACATGGTACTCTGGAGTAAAAGTCTAAGGAATGGGTTAAACAGTGTTTATCTGCAATGATCTAACCTGCAATCAGTGGCATAACCAGCTCACAAGCTTCCTGACTAATGGAACATTACTTCTACATTTCTTTTTTTTTGGAGGGGGGGTGCCAATTGACACCAAAGTGTAAGTAGAATTAATTTATACATTTCTAAGAATCCAAATGTCAAATCTCATGAACATTTACATGTTGAATTACTAAACCAAATTGAGAGTGCAGTAAGAATGCTTAAGGCAATTAGTTTGAGTTTAGGTCACGTAAAAAGGAGCCAAATAACAAAATAACAGTCTCGTTTTGTATTTTTCCTTATCATAGTTTTAATATGTGGACTAGCTAGTTCTACAGCAACACAAGAACAATACAGGGTTCTTGCTTTAAAACAATTCAGCTAGACACATTTAAAAGTGAGGCCTGAGATGGAATTTTCAACCAACTCATGGAGCTAACATTAGCTTACCTAGCTAGCTAATTATAATTCATAAAATCTGCCAGCAACAGTTGTCATTCCAGCCGGCAAAATCATTGAATGCTGGCCACAAATGACAAGTTTCTTTTATCTACCACTGAAATCAGTCACTCATTTTTTTTAAATTACAGAGAATATTGATGGTAAATTTGCCACTGTTATCACTGTCAGCTGCTTTTGTGCCATCTGCAAAGGGAAAGCTTGACAGGCATAGCAACAGTAATGAAGGGTTTGGGGCTTAGAAAACAGTCAATTATTATAGGATATGCTTAATTTTATTATATACAGAAAGTGAAATTGAGGAATCATGACATGATCATGACATACATAAGAACTATTACAAATAGCATTTGAATATTTGAGCACACTAAATAGTTTATACAGGGCTGTGTAGACTGTGTAGTCTGTGCTTGATGTGGTGTATATGGAGATCCTGCACTTGCCAATTATGTTTCTGGATTCAGCTCACTGCAACAACAACCCAAACCAAGTCTGTACAATCAAATGGCTGATTGATTGACAAACAGTACAGTGCAGCACAGTAGTATTTATATGAATGATGCTCTCTTTCTCCACACCTTAACCTTGATTTCACATCACCATTACCTCTTACACAGCAAAGTTCAGCCTCTAATCCAAAGTGAAAAGGGGTAAAATGGCTGTGAAGTGAAGTGCTTTTGGTGGGTCCTGGCACAAAACACTGGCAGATAACAAGTAGAAGATGAGAAAGAGAAAAAAAATCAAAGGCAGCAGAGGATTTTGTTATAAACTGAGTGTGGTGACAGAAGTATGGAGAGAGCAGATGAAGACAAAGAGATTTAGATCTTTGAAAGGGGATGAGATGGAGAGATGGCAAAAGTCTTTGTATTTGTGAGTGAGGGAGTCTCACAGCTACACAGAGAGAGAAAGAGGCAGCAGAGGGACCCAGGCTGTGAGCAGAGGAGGGAGGATGCTGAGTGATTGATAGCTGAATTTCTGTAGTGGAGCAGATTCTGTTGGGACTGATAAATCCTCTCTATGCCGCCACATGGGTCTGTTACTGAAAACTTGGGGGGCAAGACACTTTCAAACTGTCCTGGCACATGCCTACACATTGACCAAAACACATAAAACAAACAAAAAGAAAACTGCATGCACAAATGCGAACCCACTCTAGATGTTCAGAGTTATGCACATTCAGACTTCCTTTCACTCTGCTTCTCATTCTTTTTTGAAGATACCTTCCAGCATGAATAAGTATGAGGAAAGACTTATATAACCTCAGCACTGTGTCCTCCCTCGCCCAGGATCCGTAGAGAGTAAAAGGGAAAAGCAGTGGAAGCATCAAGCATCAGTAGATAGTCAGAGTGGAAGCAGTGAGATAGAGCAGCAGGCAAGATCTTAAAAGGAAGGTGTGGCTGTTCTAATGTTTTGACTAACAGTCGCAAATTCCCTTTAAATCCAGTCTGCTGGGTGTTCTGTGCCTGCGGCAGGTGGAGGAGGAAGGAGGAGGAGGAGGAGGAGGGGGAGGAGGAGGAACGGAGAAAAGAGGAAGAGACCAAGGAAAGGGAAAGGAAGCCAGCTACCTGCTATTTAAAGCTAGGAGAAAAAATGAGTTAGGACAAGTTTTGGGGAAAGCTCAGAGGAATAAAGCACAATATTGTTTTTTGTTTACTGATGCAGCAATATCTTTTCAACTGCTGTATTTCATAACTATGTTCTCCACAGTTTTAATAGTGTTTATTTTCTGGTAAGAAGGGAGCACATTTGTACATTGATTCACAATAAAATAAAAGCATTACCTGTGCCTTGACCTACTTTGGTGTAGTTGTGTGGTAAATTGTTAGTCTATAAATTGATCTGGAGAGAAGTCAACGCACTCCAAAAGTTTTGAAACAGGCAGTTACAGCACAACAACATCTGTTATGTGAAGAGCTTTACAGCTTGCAGAACGACTGCCACTTCAATCATGTAACTGATTCACAGTAAATTAATCAACATTAGTATTAGTAACCAATTAGCATTTAAGTGATATATGATATAATGCTAAACATTTGCTGCTTGAAGCTTCTCAAATGTGAGTATTTTCATTGTTTCTCTTTTTTTTTTATTTCATTGTAAATTTAATAAATCTTTAGCTACTGGGCTGTTATTAATGTCACATTTGGCTGTAGGAAATTGTGATGTGACATTTTGGGAAAAGCACTTACTTGCTTTCTTGCAGAGAGTCAGATGAGAAGATTGATACCTGTCCCACGTCTGTCCAGCGAATATGACGCTACAGACGACAGTTGGTTAGCTTAGCTTAGCATAAACACTGAAGGCAACAAAATCCACCCTCTAAAACTGTAAAGTTCAGTAATTAACTTGTTATATCTCATTTGTTTAATGTGTACAAAAACTGAAGGGTAAAAATGATAGACTGTGGTTTAAAGTGCGGTTATCTGATGGACTATTTCTTGGTTGGGAGCAGGAACTTTCTAAATCTTCTCGTCACCTTAAGGTTGCCATGGAACCAGCAGAGATTTTGCTTCCTCTGGACAGAACCAAGAAAACAACTGTTCCCAGTGTTTATGCTAAGCTAGTTTTATATTTATCCTAAATATAGAGCAAAATCAATCTTCTCATCCAAAACCTTGGCAAAAAAAGCAAATGAGCTTACCCCAAAACGTCAAACTGTTGCTTCAAACCCTTCTTTTCAAAGCACCATTCACTTCAATGGTACATTGCCAAAGCACATTGCCTCCCCCCCTTTCCCATTCTTACATTTACAATGGCCTCTTTGGTCTGGGCCATGTCGGATATGACACCGTCTGTGATGATGAGGAGCACAAAGTACTGAGAGCCGTCCTGCACTGCTGCTGCATACCTACATGCACAAACACACACATACAGACATGAAATAAAAAGGTGCTTTTTCATCTCTTTAATACAAAAACAAATCTAAAATCTAAACATTGATGTAGAAAATAAATCCGCAGCGATACATGCCTTATCATCTTACAACATGAAAATTAAATACAAATGTTCTTTGTCACTGCTGTACTTCAGATAAAACTCATTAAAATGCCTCATGATTGATCGGCCCAAACAATCAAGTTTAAAACAAAGCTGGTTTACACTGTTTGATTCACAGATTAACACCTTTGTTGAAATCTCTTCCCACTTGACTTGACCTATTCAGATGCTAAATACTAATGATGGTTGTGTGTTCTCACAGCGAGGACTCCCTGCCGTAATTTGAAAAGTGTGACTCCATTTTATCACTGTGACATTTTTAATTACAGTGGAGCACTGGTGTAATCAGATGGAGAATTGTTTGGCTGCGGCTCAACAAATGAGACGGTGAGGGAAGCACTGACAGTGAGTGGTGGGGGTGGGCGTCATAGGGCACAAGAATCCACTCAGATCATGTCACAGTTTGTATACTTTTCTGTGTTGTTAACTGCGAGTGATATGTCAGTATATGTTAATGGCCATAGGCCCATTTGTCATTTGTTCCATCAGCTAAATCTGCCACTCTGCTGATAGCTGTCAGCTGATCTAAATTCATATTCAAGCATGTCACATCCTGTTTATTGTGTCTGGCAGGAAAGATATTGTCCGTGTACCGGGTCAGAAAAGCAGTGGCACAAAAAATCAAAGCCAAATAAGGCCAGCTGTAAAAGATATATCTGGTTCTTTATCCTTGATGACTTCAATCTTAAAGAAGATCAGTGATAAATGCAGTCTGTATGTAAACAAAAACTGATTCTTTCTGAATTGTTGATCAATTTGTATCATTGTCTACAGGTCTTTGCTGCTTTTTCCTGCATATAAACACTTCCAAGAATAAATTTGTGAGGATTTTGTTGGTTCACTGGTTCGCTGTTTTTATCATTGTGTTTTTGGTATTTAACAGAAATAATATATTGTATAAATCATAATGAAAGAACCACAAGAAGAAAAAGTTACCACATGAGGAAAAGCCACAAGGATCAAATGAAAATAAGCAGACGAGAGGATCATAAATAAGGAATCCAAAAGTTAAAAAAGCAGTGAAGACTCGAAATGTTTTATTATTATGTGTTTGATATTGATAAACTTGACAAATCGAAGTGGATTCTTGGTTTATGTGGAAGAACGCAAAGGTGAAAATAAATTATACAGATCAGTCATAAAAAAAAAAAAAATCTGCTTTTATATTGTAATTGCTTTGCCACTTTAATGGGAGCAAAGAATTAGACCCCATACTCCAGCTTGCATTGCTCTCTCACCTGGCCACATGGTTCACCACAGGAGCGAAGTTAGTTGGCCCGTAGAGCTGCACTGTCTTCAGACTTTGGTGGTACGCCTCTAAGATGCCTTCTATACCATTGCAGTATGGATTTTCCATGTTTCCATTCTAGAGAGGAGAAAAACAGTGCAGAGGGAAAATCAATTTCATGGTCTGGGTCAAAACATTTATCAACCAAAGAAGCAGCAAGATCTTAATCAAAGTACACTGGTTTAATCAGACATCATTTACTTGTTTCATATTACCAGGTCATGCACAAAATCCATTAATTAGAATGAGCACATTAAATTAGTAAGAAATTCCAGTGGTGTGATTTTGGTAGTCGGAAATAAAAATCATAAAGTAGCCTCAATAAAAATCCACTAAACAGATTAATCAAAGTTGAAATGGGGTGAGGTTGACTTCACCAGGGGGAATTCGTGTGACACCCGTCCATCAGGGGGCAGTTTGGCCCCAAAGCCCAGAGCGGGGAACATCTTGTCACTGTCGTAGTCCTGAATGATCTCCCCGACAGCCTTCAGGGCCATGGCGTAGGCGTTCAGCTGGTATGGGTTCATGTAGTGTAGCGAAGTGGACTGAGAGGGGTTACCTGTTGACCGATTGATCAATCATCAGGTCATTATGGTGTAGGAGGTACAACGACAAAGACTTTGAGAATGTCAATGTGCACATTCTCTGCAATGACATGACATCAAACAAGAATTTCTTATTTGCTGCAGCCGATGATCACAATTAACATGATTCCTGTCAGGGGGAACTGTCATGTTCAGTCCTCAGACATGATGAATCATAACATTTAATTCAGTGGTTTGTAACACAACAGCAACAAAACAGTGGGAGGAAGGTTACTGTGAGAAATGAGCGCCTCGAAATGACAAATTAAGTGAGCATAGAAAGCTCATTGATATCTGTAAGACATGTAATAACACATGATCAGGGTTATTACTCAATATTAACTGCCCATATGTGATATTGTGGATGTGTTTCAGAAAATGTTGTCATGTAAATATTGTCATTGCACTGAGTGAGTTGACGTGCTCAGCATTTGATTACCTGTACCTGTTACCTGATAGCAGAAACCCTGCTGTTTGCCTGGTCTGGCCGTGTACTCACAAGATGTAATACAAGTGATCTTATCTGGAGTCCAGAGTGTAACAGCAAATGGTATATCACCTTGACCAACACCAAAATCTCCAAACAGAATGGAGAAATTGACTGTTTGCTAAACCCCACCCAGTTGGCACTACATCTGTCAAACCTTCCATTATAGTACATTTCATATAGTTTGTCATAATGGTGTCAGATTTACTACTTAATATTCATAGTAATTTTTCAAACAATGGATTTGTCATTTCAGACAGAGGTAGACAAAAGCAGGTTTGTCATTTCTAGCCAGCGACCATCGATATTGCAGGCTGACATTAGCTCCATGAGTTGGTTGAAAAAGTTGAATTGTTTCAAAACAAAAACCCGAATACAGTACTAAAAGAAAGCTAAAGGAACATTTGCATGAAAAATATAAAAATAGCATTCTCACCTAATAATAAATGTAATTTAATAAATAATAAATCAACCAATCGGTACACAGCTATAAATCAACCAATCAGAATAAGGTTACAAATCACCTACAAATCACCTTTAAACTAAATAACTCAAAACTGTCAGTAGGAAATGTGTCATCTACCTACAAATACCGAGAAAATAACAGTAATTTAACACAATGCGCACACGACTCAAGCTCTCCTCCGGTGACTGATCCTGCGGCCTGCCTTGTCAAAACAGCTTGTCAATCACTCAAGACCCAGCATGTCAATCAAACAGGAACGCCCCCAAAAATATAAAAATCATTACCTCCACCAAGGAGGTTATGTTTTCACCCATGTGTGTTTGTTTGTTGGTCAGCAGAAGTATTCAAAAAGTACTGAACCGATTTGCACCGAACTTGATGGAGGGACGGGGCATAGGTCAGGGAGGAAACCATTAATCTTCGGGACAGATCCAGATCATTTACTATGAATTTGAGTTAGTTTCTCTGAAGTCTGGTGTAGTTTGAAATCAGCCTTGGCAGAGGTCTGCATTCTCGGAGTGCCTTTCTAGTTTAGAGTGTATTGACAGAGCGTTTAGGAGGCACAGCTTTCCAGAAAAGGCTATTGTTTATAGGTGACAATGTGTGTACCACACTATCTGCTTGTGTGTGTGTTTCTGTGTGATTGATTCTGAAATCGGACATGCCACAGTCAAAGAGCACTACAATCCATTCTTGCACCCCTCCACACACACACACTTTGCCGTTAGTATCACTCACCATTAGATGCTGTGAAATCGATGGCCACAGTGAAATTGATCTGAGTCCTAGAAGGGGGATGGAGAGGAGGACATGGAAAAACATCAATGACAGAGAACAACCACCCATAACAACATGCCAGGCCTCATTAAATTCCAGCGGTCTCACACGCAGTCACATACACACACACACACACACACACACACACACACACACACACACAGCCTGTAACAAAATATGACAAGATGATCCTTAAAATTGAGCAACATCACACACTAAAAATGGCAATTATTTCTTATGATGATATACAAAGAAATCAATATTTAATATCATTGCCTGCTAGTCTTCATCTGCATTAAGGCACAAAGTGCAGTTGCTCAGTTGTTAAATAACATTGAAGTCATTACACTTGCTGGTTTATCCGACTTTCACCTCCATGAGGAGGAGTAGCAGGAGGTGCTGAAAAGCCTGAGCTTGGTAACGAGCAATTAGTCTGATGGAGCACTTAAGAGCAAATCATAATCCAATTTTCCCTGCTGATGAAGCACTCCCCTCTTCTTGCTAATTTTGCTAATTTACGACAATGAGACGAGGCCTTCAGGGGCCGAATGACAGCCTTTCATTATCTATGAGAGCCACCAGAGAGGAAGACTGAAGAGTGATAAATAAAATGAATGAGTTAAAGATTCACATTAACCTTTCAGTTTTGGGTGGGGACAGAGAATATGCCACAGCATGACCCTGCTAACCTTTGCATTAATTAAACCTGATTTTATTAATTCATGAAGAGTCTGGAATGTATAACTATCTCTGCATGGGAAGGCAGGTTTGAAAACTCTACATGTACTGCATCAGGAAATGACAAAAAAATGATTTTTTGTTATATTTTGCCATGATTTTTTTTTGCCGAAAATTTGGTTTTTAGGTGTGGATTCCCCACCCACACTTTGTTTGGATCAGTACTAGAAAAAGCTGAGAGATATTTGTCAGACTCACTCTTTTAAACCCTTGTAAATTGAGGGAGTCTTTGTTTGGCATGGTTTTTCCTAATTTCTAGCACAGCAGTTATTATGCTTCTCTCTGTGGGCAAAACCAACTTTTTCAGCACTTTCACTAAAATTTCTTTGGGCTGAACAGAATATTCTCAGCTTTTTCCTATTTTAGCTTTTCCCTTTTATAACACCACTTCAGCCTAATTCAAATTGTAGGGTGGCAAAAGGTAACGGTCAAATTATTAACCAGATATAAGGGCACTGAACCATAATCATTGCAGAGAGATGGTCCCTATCATTATGTTTCAAGCATATCTTGTCCTCTAAGTCCTCGCTCCTGAACTGTCCCAGTGCTGCAGACTGAGAGTGAGAAAAATCAACACTCTGACTGTCTGTCTGACTACTTTTCATTTCACCTCAATGCAGACTAAGGTGAAATGCTTTTGAGCAATTTGAACCGCCAAATTATTATTGTCCTCTTATAGTGATTATAGTGGTTGTATGAAAGCTGCCAGAGTTCACTTTTCATCATGATGAAAGCTGTAATACCAAATATTACAGAAAAGTGCTTTAACAACTAGCATAGAAAAGATTTTTTACATGTGGCGTTTCACCTTTTTCATGCAGCAAACAGCTTGGACAGTTTATGTGACAGACTTCCTTAACTTTCATCCATCCTCCACATTTGCAAGAACCAGCTCTCTGATGTGTCATTCAGCAAGTGCCGGACTAATGTTAGGGGACAGGCTGATGAGGATGATATTTCTGAAGTGGCACCAGTAAACCTTAAAGTTATTGTATTATAGATCAGCCAAAGCCAGGAACTTTCAATGAATCCTGTCACACCTGTCAGCCCTGCTACAGCCCAGAAAACCCCTGACAGCCTACCTGCTGTGATGGGACAGGGGACGTCAAAGCACCACCCAACTTTGCCTGAAAGGCACACTTGAGAAATACTTGATATCCACATGTCAACCTCCCGCTCTTAAACTAAACTGAGGTCAGAAGGCTGATTCTCTCTTTGAAGACAGTTCAGTTTTAGCCCGCTCATTTAAAATATATTTGGCGTTTTAATGCTACAGACCGCTTCTACTATGAACTTTTACATCAGTTTAACAACGCTGCAATGGAGCACTGTTCTTGTGGTGCCATTACATTGAAGATAACAGGATAGAAATATATATATGCATTTTAATACAAGTTTTAACTACCAACATATTGATTTTACAATTCTCATAAGTAATTAAGTATCAAGATGACTTTCTATCATAGTTTTGCATGTGTCATTAATCCTTTAAAGGATGATTTCCTTTTTTACAAATTCAGTTATTTTCAGTACTTCTGGCCACCTTTGCTTTTGTACTTGTGTAGAATTATCCTTTTACAGCAGCTAAAAGCAATATTTTTGTTGTTGCTAAAATTGCTAGGTGTTAGGTGAAAGTGTTTGCATGTAATGACAAACACAAGGACAATTAACACCTAACGTTTTAGTGTTTTTCAGCTCGTTGTTTTGGTTTTATGGCCTGCAACTTAACTTCAAAATTGATTGAGTTTTTCCAGCTCTCATCAGTATTGTTTCCAGATGCAGCAGGAATGTTCTAATAAACCTGCTGTACTTTTAAAGTAGTATTTTAAATGATGACCTCATCCTGCACAGGTAGACATGAATATAAAATCAAACTAATAAAACCATCGCACATTATTTTATTCAAGTATTCCTGCCATTTTGCCCCTACTGTTCAACCAGACATAATTTCTCCCCTTAACTGATCTGACCTCATCATGCTGTTTCACCACAACATTTAGTTTGAGCAGGATTGCGTCATATAGGGAAGTAAAGAGGCTATTAATGGTTTCTTTAAGTATGCCGACAGTCATTTCCACTCACCCTCCTTTGATGTAATCTAAGAATGTGAACTCTGACTCCACTGAGAACGAGAGCAGGGTTACCTGAAATTAAAGACAAGGAGAGATTTGATTAAACACAGTGGTCCTGTTGTTTTCCTCTCAAATCCCCCGAAAAACCTTCACATCTCCACTGGGTTCAGCACTTGACGCCTCTCTCTGTAAAAAAGATGTGAGGCAGCTGCTTTCTGATGATCGATTCATTCACATCGCCAGAGGACAAATTTGAAGAGAGGATGAGACACATTTGTATGCATTACTTGCACATGCCCACACTGCTTGGTAAGTTGTGTGAAAATATGTGTCTCAATTGGTTTTCGGTGTCGCCCACTATGATCTCTCAGATCTTATGTCCTTCAAGTTCTGCAGCACCTTCATCCTTCATTTTGTCCCACTTACATACTTTACTGCTTCCAGTTTTCTTTACTAACTACATCTCTGTACAATTCTTCTCAAAACCCAAAGTATACAGCTTCCATCACCACTTACAGTACCATATAGTGTAGTATACAACAGTGCGTGCACAGGTAGTGCATATACACACAGCAACCACTAATAAATACAATCTTGTCTTGTAGCTGAATCTGAAAACTACTAAATCAACAAAGCTTCTTTTTTGTTTTTTACCAAACTGTATAATTAAGTGGTGTGTGATATGTGAATTAATGAGGAAATCTGTTTCTTTTCCTTTCAGAACAAAGTACAGATTGGCATCTTCTTCCAAGGAGCCAAGACTTGCATGATAATTAAAGAAGGAATCATTTATCAGAAGGGAACTAGGTGTGGAGCAGAGAAGAGGCACAGTGCCAGTCCTGATTAGCTGCTGGAGCCATACTCACTGTTCCAGAGTTGACATATTTCTTTTTCTTCATTTTCTTCTTGGTATTAATAACCTAAAACATAAACAAGGGGCACATGTTTAATGCTTTGGTTTTAGGCATATGTATACAGTACATTTTATGCTTTATATACAACCGCTGAACCTTTCCAACCAAATATTGCATTTGTAGGACTCCCTGTACTGTTTTGCTTGCAGGATTTGGCTGGTAACGATGTAGTTTTACATGTGTTAAAACAGAATTTCCCTGACTTATCTCACTGCTTTTTACACACATGCAAACCCTGTACTTTATATAATTCCTTTCCAACTGGGTGCAACAAATGTAATGAAAGGGGTGTATGTGGGCGGTATGAGAAGTACATGCCATCAAGCAGATGTATGTAATTTGTGGGTTTGTGGGTTTGTATGCAATTAATGGGAAAAAAAATATCAAGAAAAGAAATTGAAAAAGGATGTGTGCTCACGAAGGAACAGATGGGTATCATGGGAAAGTGCAGCTCATGTAAGATTTATAAACACATAATATGGAAACGTTCTTCAATCACTGTATTAAACTGAAGAAGTTTGGAAATTCAAACATGAATCTCAGGCTACAAAGAATCGATGGGTGAGGCAGGCTTAAGGTGCACGACTTATATTTACTTCCCCAGTATTGTATCGGCTCCAGAACAAGAGAGAAATGTCAATTCGGAGACCAAAGACGTCTCAGCTCATTACCTTGATTCTCTATGGCTGCTGGGCATGAAAGTGACAGCCCCTAATTTAACATGGAGGGATGGCAATTTGTCTGACACACTGAACAATCTGCTGATGCAAAAACTAAAGGGCCTTTCAGTCTCACTGGGAGGTAGAGAGGAATCAAGAGTAGCATATAATGGAGCTGACATCCAAAAGACAGGTATTTGTCCTTCAGCTGAAGGCCACCAAACCACAGGGGCATGAAAGTATTGACATGTCCTCCTTTTTGCTAATATTTTGACTTTCAACTGGATTTATTTTCAGTGGAGACCAGAGCATTCTGTTACATTCTCTCATAGATTTACAAAATAAATTCTTCTGGACAAATTAAACAGTGATTTCGATAAACGTAGGACACATTTTCAAACCTTGCCAGTCAACCTTGGAATCTAGGGTGTGACATTTAAAAGAGTTGTGTTTGTAATTTGCATACAGAGCCGTATTGTATGCTATTAAGAGACACAGTAAGCTATCCCATGAGAAGTATTGAGAAATAGCTATGATCGTTCTAAATCCCTGGATTGTTCTGCTATTAATCCTGTTTCACGCTGCTGCTAATAGCTCCTTTTCTATGTGTGTCAGCATCCAGGTGATTGTAGAAGCAAAATAAATCTTGGATTTTGAAAAGAAGAACATGGGCAGAAAAAACAGTTGCTCAGGGAAGGTGGTCGAGGCATTCCCGACACTGCGCTGTACGAATGCCCTTTTAAAAACTGAATTAGGAATGTATGGAAAAACTTATTTTGTAACTGTTGGGCAAATGCATTTGTTTGCTGCAGGGGCATGAGGTAGCTATGGACAGGAATTTGCTAGAGTAATGGGAAACAGTGCAACAGTGATGTCAGAGATAGAAATGTCACTTGTGTCAGAAATGGGATCCAAGACATCCAGATCCCAGGAGCCGACAGACACGGTTTTGAACTGGGAAAACGTTGGAATTACTCACCTCGTATACATTGAACTGGCTCTGCCCTCGAGCTAGCTCTCGGTAGCTGGTCGTAAAATCCCCAATGAAGTCATGGCTGCGATAAGGAATAAAGGCGGAGAAACACCAGTGAGTACATAAAATATCAGGTGTAAATAACAGGACAAGAATGAAATTCGTGACAGGAAATCATGCCTTTTTTTTTGGGTGAATGTTTATGAAAAAGTTTTGCCTTTAACTGAAGTTACTTTTGAGTTAAATGTAGTTCTTGAATTGCATTTTAAATTGTATCTTAACCATTCCTCAATATGAGTTGTGCCACGCTTTGGCAGTCACACTCACCTGCCATCCCTATCCCAGTCATACACCTCCACCTTGATTGTTCTGGAAATAAAACACACCAACCACAGTTGGGTTAAATTTTAAAGGAGAATGCTTGGCAAACAATCTTCCTTCAGTTTTCAATGTTTGCTGTGTTTACCACGACCTAACTTAATCACTGTAGTATTTCAGTGATCTAACTTTTAAATTAGAAGAAATCGAAAACTCCTCAGGGTGCTTTTTAAACATTGATTTACACAGTATCTGTAAAAAAGGAGGAAGGAGCTATAGTGTCTTCACTGTGCGGAAAAATAACTTCTCAGCAACAACTTCATTAGCGTCACTCAGGCTTTTGTAATTAACAAGGACAGGAGACAGCAACAACAGGTGTGTACTGCTGTTTCATGTCAGCTGCTGAAGCCTTGGAGTTTTCCCAGCTAAAGAGACAAGGCTCATCACATGAGCCCTACAGGGAAAAAGTATGACTGGATGAGAGTGTATCTTAATCAAAATCAAAATCACAAAAAAAAAAAATCTATTGATATTATTTCACTTAGAAGCAGAAAATACGTGTTTTGAAATAGTGCTAAGGGAACCCCAAAATCAATTAAAATTGATGTCACTGTGTTTTAAACGTGGGATACAACAAAGCTGCATTGTGCAAGAGAAAAAGTCAACTTGCATAAAGAACTCCCTCCCACTTGAAAACTGCAGCACATGTTAACTTCCAACATTTAAAAGAAACATCAGGGAAAAAAAGACACACTGACGACATTTTACACAAATGCAGCAGAAACAACAGAGTGAGGAGAGAGAGAGAGAGAGAGAAAAAAAAGAAAGTTTTTGGCACTTTCATTCCTGAGTCACATTGATCTCACCCCCATGTCTCCCCTCTCTCCCCCACTTCGTCTTACACAAGAACTGACACCAGCCCAGATCCAAAGAAAATAAAAGCAAGCGGCACATCAGAGACTCTTTTCTGTCACTGAGGAATTGAAAGATGCCTGAAATAAGCCCAACTTCCTCGCTGCCACCTGGCCCCTGTCGTTCCTTGGTGACAGTTTGTTCTTTTGAGGTTATCTTCAAGGCTGTGAGCTAGAGAAAATGTGCCTGTCACCTAGGTGGTAGAAACATGATGCGTCTCATCCAGCATGGCAAAATAAAGGGAATGGGTGGAGTTAAGACAGATGGAGAAAGAGATAGCAGAATAAAAGGAGAAAAAGTCAGAGAGAAGATTCAGCCGTCGTTTCCCTAGATCAATCTGCAGAAACGAAATTTAGTGCTGGATGTAAATGGTGCAGTTTCAGTGTACCGCCATGCTACTAAAATAAAGGACCTGGAAGCTGTCATCATGTACATCATGTCGATTTACCACCATTTTATTTCAAATCTTTGTATCCTAACTTACAGCTGCATCAAAGGACTCAGGTGCTCAGATCCTTGAGTGGCTCCTTGAACTCTCAGAACAATATACACTCCAAAACTAATCTGCCACAGATATCTTCGGCTACTATTCAGAGGCACCTTTAATGAACATGACTCATCTTCAGTAATGGAGGCGCATATAATTTAGGGAAAAAAGGAGACTGCATTTGACGCTGAACAATCCTTCAGCTCCAATTACACAGATCTGGCTGTGATCTTTTGCCAGGCACCAAAATAGACTGTGTTTGAGTAAGGCTACCATGTTAATGAGGAAGAATTGATTCTTGTGATGTTTTTAATGAATTATCACCATTAAAATATATACCTTAAAGGTGTAATGTATAAGATCTGGCCATAATTTTAGTTCAAAATATTCAAAAAAACAAACTAACACTATCAATAGTATGCAAAGGAGCAACAGTGATGATGTCATGACCAAGACCTTCCTCTATTGTATTTCAGAGATATCTACTGAAATGAGCCTGCTAACCAGTTAGCTGCATCCCGGGCCTTGTTGTAATACCACTTTATTACACTAGATGCTGTGTGAGTCAGTGTAGCGTACAGTCTGCTATCAGTCCCACAAAGAATAAGAGCTTCCTCCAGAGCTTGAAGTTACACTACAGCTCCCGACAAAAAAACCTCCCAACTAACATCACAGACGCGCAGATTTGGCTGAAGTGCCTAGAAAGCGATTTTTATCTCCATCCCGAAGAACCGCTCGGACAAGAAACCAGGTTCAACGGCAAAGAATAGAAGAAAACACGAGATGCGGTTGGATGCCGAGCTCATAACTTTTCTTTTAGACTAACATCGTTACGTTGGTCTGTAGCAAAAAGTACCATTACTGCAAAAGAACAAACCGTACCAACAAACACTTCAACAGCAATTTAGTAGAATTTAGCCTGTTCCTGCGGCTGTTGTCCAGATAGATGCGTCAGTAACTTTTCTTTTACAAATAAGATAAAGAGACTGTTTGATCCAGAAACAGCAGGTTCAGGATCCGCTGCCTATTACTGTATATATTTTAGCATATTCAAATCTATCCTTATTATTTATTATACACACACAACAGACCTAACATGCTTGAGTATGAAGAACTTGTATGATCTAAACTAATTTTCTTATCACGTTTGTCTGTATCAGGACCAGAATTCCAGTCCAGTCCTCCCTTAGTGATGGACCAGCACCTGCCTTTTCTTCTGCGTCTGACCTCATCAACCATCAACAACCACATTACAGTAACACCTTGGAGCATTATCCCTGCACATAACAGATATTTTCTATACTGTGATCTTTTGCACATCCTGCTCAGCAGGAGCTTTGTCAACACTTTTGTACATAGTTTTTTTCATTGTTTTATTTTTTAAATATGTGTATCTATGTATATTTATCTTTTTGACTGTTGCAGTATTTAACCTTATTCTCCCTTATACACCCATGTGTCATGCAGTCTCCCCTTGCCTTCATATTTTTATAGGTAAATAAAACATACTGTTTGTATTACAAGTACTCATAATTTGTTTCTCTGCTATCAACAATTTTAATTATCAACAATAAATGCACATATAAATTATAAATTATAAGGAACATGGGGAAAACAACAATATGATTAACTGGACAGGGGCGAAGAGGTGAAATGCTGCCCCCTATGGATATGGAGCAAATAGCATGATCTTACACATTACACCTTTACACCATTACACAGGTGCCACCTACAGAGAGGAAAACACAATATATAGGAGCTGTGACGGATTAAAGATTGAAAGTATTTTAAATTTGCCCACACGTCAAATGTTGAGCAGAACACAACAACTTGGAAGCACCTTCCATTCTCCACTCCTCTAGCTTCACATTCACTCTTCTCCTTTACTTACTCATCTGGAACAGGGCCTTTGACGTATTGGATTTATGTTTTTTTCCTTCTGTTACACTGCAAGTGTACTTACCTTTGCTGCCTGTTATCTGTTATTGTCTTCTCCTTCATTTCTCCTCGCTGCTTGTCGCCTCCTCTCCTATTACTTTCCCTACTTTGTCTTTCCCTTTTACTGTCCTCTGCTTTGCCAAAATGTAGTCTGCTGTCACCAGGGATTCAACTGGATCCTGTCACTTGAAGGACAGTCTGCCTAATCAAAGCGCCACTCTGACACCAGCCAACAAAGTTGGAAGGTGGTGGTGTTTAACAACAGGTCTGACTAAAACAGATAGCCTTTGGCGATGAATCAGATCTGGGAAGTATTGTTTCCCACAAGCAGCTCTGTTTTCCAGTGTCGGCCCTCCAGCCAGTCCCGCCAGTTGTGTTTACCACTCTTTTCTACAAGTTTTTGCAACTGCTCTATGCAACAACACAAACATTTCTCTTTGTACCACTACCCCACACTGTATAGGGACTGGTTAACAGTTGTGAAAAGCACATGTTTAGGAAAACAAACCAAGTGCTGTGTGAAACAGGCAATTCTGCATGATAGCTGTGCAATTTGATTCTGAGGACTCATCCCTAAATAGAAGAAGTGAGTTAAGGATTTCAACAAACAAGATATATATATATATATAGGTTTGGACACATGTGCCAGTGTTTGTGAACAGTTCTTTACACCACACACAAAAATGAATATGCAACACCACATTGGCCTTAGAAAAGGTCTGTGAATGTATGAATGGACAGAGCAGACTGTCGGCTAGTGAAGTGCACTGTGCTGTAAGTATTAAAAAAAAGAACAAAATCAAGTTTAAAATTGATCTTACATTTAAAACCTATCAAAGCAAATGGCACTTTGTTCAAGCAGGAGGACTAGAGTGCAGCACTATTGTTCAACTGCCTACATAGCAGTCCTTATTTGTCTGGTTCAAGAGAGAAATGTCATGCAATCGGTGGAAAGTATGCATCATCTCTTTTAGCAGACACATTGCGTGTTCCTTTGTTACTTTAAGAGATGTCTAATGGGAGAGAAGCTGAGTGCTTGGTTTGGAAGTCTTTAGTGCCCTTTGTTCAAGTAGCTAAAGTTTCTTCTTTTTCCCCTTTGGTGCATCAAAAGGGAAAAAAACATGTCCAAAGTTAAACTTAAAAATCTCATTACAGTAAAATAAATCAACAGTAGCTCATCCACTGAAATACTTGTGCAACATAGTACTCTCAACAGACAGAGCTTCAACACCTTCTCCAGCATGTGCTGGACTTGAAATGAGAGAGTTAGTGCCAACACAGATAACGTGTAGTTGGAGCAACTAGCACCAGCCTTCCATGTGGATACACCAGCAATAAATATGGGGATGTTTCCTACCCTAACCCTAACGCTGCACCTTGTGGGACTCCACCGTTACCATTCAAGGTCATTGTGCTGCACGTCTCATTTCAAAAGCTGAGACCTGACAGTTTGAGACAAAGAATCTAGAGAAGTCACTGTTTCTTGGAGCTCATATAAAGCAAGACGTAAAGTAAGGAGACCAAACAGCTCTATTAGATTATCCATCCATGTTATGCACATTTTCAACTTGCAAATAAATAAAACCGAATGCAAATTCTGAATGGAAACATTAGAAATTTGGAAGTCGTAACATCACAGGGTTTTTACGCTTGGCTGAGGTGGAAACGTCGTATCATATCAATAAAAACAAAATGCAACCAAGCGAAACGGAAACGGACTGACCGAATAAATGATGAAGTATATGTGACTTAAATATCCACTGAAGTTTCTGCTCAACTGGAGAGACTTAAACAGACAAAAAGATCACACCTGTGTGGAATGATGAGGAGACTGTAATATCCTCAAATTAACACACGAAACAAACATAAGTGCTGTTTTTTTTGACTCATGTTTTCCACGGTTTGAGATATGACTGAAGCTCTTTCAGTTATGTAATCTCGTTGCACCCTCTTCTTCTGCAATTGTTTAATGGCACTGGATTGGAGAATAACTTATCTCGATGGAAAATGTGCATGATTTTCTGGAAATTTGGTCAAATTTGGATAGAAACTGAAGTTTGGTCAGTTGCCTCCAGTGAGTTCTGGGCTGAATCCAAATGTCCAAATTTTCCCGCTTCCCCTGCAAGTGTCATGCACTCTAAATCTACAAAGTCCCTCATGTTGACTTCCAGGGAGACTTTGCTGAATAATTTGGGTTTGTTTGTTACAACCTGCAAAGTAAGACAGGCACCGGTTGGTTTTCATGAGGATCCTCAGTTGAGGGTTTAATGTGAATATAATATGAACATTAGCAGTGTTAGACATCACATGTAAAGGGAAAATTTTACCACACATACCAATCATATCCCTGATACGATGTATATAAACCAATATCCATAACATTAAGAACTGTTCAGAAAACTACTTAAAGGGTCTGACATTTCAATGAAGCACCATGGAAACAATCAAAGTCTTAAGTCATGTCTCATAGTGCATTTTTTACTTTGGTGTTCAGCACCCACAGACTTGATGTGATCATGGTGAGCATGTCACAAGACGTATGACAGGAGTCTTTGAGGGCTCAGCCTGCACGTCTGGAGGGCGGACGTTTGGAGTCAGCCCTTGACAAGAGCTCTCTGGGTTCCACAGTGCAGCAAAAGCACTAAAGAAAACAATCATCTCTCATAGTGGTCTCTATCTAATGCTGTGTTCAGTCATTGAGTTCAGGTCATTCAGCTCACACTGGCAGACTCTTTCATGACCAGCCCAGTTTCCTAGGTCATGTTTTCTTTATTTTTCATTATTGCAGTATTTCCTGTCTTATTTTTGTTTCACTTACCTCTTCTCTTGTTTCAGATCTCCACTTCCTGCCATTGTGTATTTCCCACCACTTTGATTGTCTGCTCCACCCTGATTGGTTTACTCGTGTCTCATTGTCTTCCCCTTCCTTCAGTGTTCCTGGTTTACTGTTCTTTGCTAGTTCCCTTTGACCTCAGCTTTGACTAATCCTTTTGTTTGCCTGCACCTCTGACTCCCTATTTTGAAAGGAAAGACATTGATTTTCTTTTTTTTGTAACCTTGTGACAGGCGCCTGACTCATACTATTGAGTCTTTTTCCTTGTGGTTTACCAGTTGTTACAGACTCTAATCAAGGCAATAGTGGTTGAGCACTTCTTTTAATCAACAAACTGAAAGTGTTCCCTGTTTCGTTATAAACTTTTAATACCTGTAATGGAAATTGGTGTGAAATGATTCAGCTAATTTTTTTATGGGCACCACATTAGCACTTTCAAAATCACTGGAAGCTTTAATTCCCTTGATGGATGTAAACAGTAATTATATAGATCAAAAGCATTGACAGCCCTAAGAGCTGTGTTTGTTGCATGATGATAATGTACCATCACAGAGGTTTGAAAAAAAGAATTTATTAGTGGGAAGAACTATATAATTAACAAGACAGACGGACCTTCCCACTCCCACCTCATAGAAATATGGACACAAAAAACAAGCAAACACTGACACACAAAGTTTACTCCTCGCCCACGCACCAGTATATAACCTGTTTATAGCACTGTCTTGGTGATATTTCAAGTCTTGCAGCATTTTAGGCTGTTTCAGCTTGTGGCTTGTCACATTTCATTATACTCCCCCCCCCCCCCCCCACTATCTCGCTCTCGCTCTGTGTGTGCGCATTTTTGCATGGCACAGGCTCATTTTGGGAATGCCTTTGATGCCCAGCTCAGTCCCTTGTGTATGATTGGCTCTGACAGGGTAGTGACCCCTTCTTGGGCTCATGTGTGATCGTCTGGGTCACACAGTTTCACCTCATATTTTCCAAGTATCAAAACACTTCTCGAGGCAACCCCATCAGTAGCTCCATCCCTATCCGTCTATCTGTCTGTCTGTCTGTCTGTCTGTCTGTCTGTCTGTTTGGGATCGATCTCAGTTTTCTCAACACACACACACACACACACACACACACACACACACACACACACACACACACACACACACTCACGGTACTCTTCATTCTTACTACTTTGAGTCCACACAAACAACACAGGATAGACGTCTTTGAGAGAGAGAGAGAGCGAGAGAGAGAGAGAGAGAGAACAAAAAAAGGAGAAACAGAAAATGATACAGTATGTCACATGAAGTATTTTCTCCAACAGAAGTAATCTGTCTGTCACTCCTTTTTCATCTTCCCTCACAGCTCTTTCATGATTTGTCCTGTTTTTTCCAGCACTGTTTTTTAAATTAGAGGCAGGCAGATAAACAGGGAGAAAAATGAATTCCCATCCACTCTGACACAACATGTCTACATTAATCACGGCCCGCTGAGAAGAGCAACCTGTTCTTATTTTAGATATTAAGCATATACTCCTGTGTTTATATGGCCAGAGGGCAAAAACAATGCGTAATAAACAAATCAAATTAGTAGTCAAAATATGTTTTTAATTATGCATTCACACATTAATTTACTATTTATTGTATCATTTTTTAAATATTGTTTTGTTTTTGGTTGCATCGACTGATAATAAATAATGAAATAGCTTCATGAGTTGGTTGAAAATGCTAATGTCTCTGGCTGACTTTTTAATGTTCCCAGCAGAGTCATTGTAAGATGAAAAAGCTGTCCTGTCATATGCTAAAAGACTGAGGCTAAGGTGAGCAGGTCCCAGGCAGAAATTTTGCATCTTTACCACTTACTCTGGTAGAAACTGAAATAAACCAGCAGCATTAATTCTCATATAGTAAGAGCTAGTTAGTCCTGGTATCTTAAAGGGATAATTTGGGTTATTTGAGCTGGGGTTTTATGAGGTAGTCATGCATAAGTCAGTGTTTTACATGCAGTAGGTTCAGATCAGCCCGCTGCCAGTTACGGGGAGAGGAGAGGACCGAGCACCGGCACACCAGCAGAGCGATGTGTGGCTGTGCACAGGCCCAGCAGAAAAAATATGTTTTAGACACTTTTTTAAAGAATGCCCACTGAAACAATCCAATTTCCACTGAAACTTCATTTAAAATATTTTCAGCGGTTTATCTTCAAAGCAGCACTTTCCTTTGGCACTACATTTTTTCAACCGCTGAATTACCGTATTCCTACACACAAGCGCACCTATGGAGCGCATTGTATTGCGCCGCAGCCACAGCTCAACTGAGTGAATCAGAAGGTGGCGTAATACATTGCTGGCCCTGTGCACAGCCACACATCGCTCTGCTCTGAAAATGAGTGTTATAATTTCCCACAGATCAAGGTGACATCTTCAGATGTCTTGTTTTGTCAGAAAACCAGTCCAGACATTGATTTGACTATCATGTGTGACAAAATCATCAAATCCTCATATTTGAGGAGATAAAAACATCAACCTCTACTCTTACTACAGCCCCATGGACACGGCTTCAACATTTACAGAAAGTCTGCCTGGTTACGGTTGTTAAGGTATGATTAGACAACCATTGTATCTAAATTTAAGATAAATTAATACATTTATATCACTCTGGGATTTTCTCTGAAGACAGACGTGTTGATAACAGGAACACCACAAGGAGGTCAGAAGAGATTAGAAGAGGCTCATTGTGCCAGACCTGTGCTGCTCTAGCAAAGATCAATACTGAGGGATGTCCTAAGCACACAGCTTTTTTGAAATAATGTGACAGTAGGAAAAAATTAGAGGCTTAACTCTGCAGCATGCTGAACTGCTATTGATTTCTGCTGGTTAAACGCAATGACACTCAGGTTGTAGTAATGGTTGTCATCAGTACACTGTTTGTGAGTCAGAGCCATTAAGGCAGTCAATAGATTGAGCCAAAAGAAATCAATGAAGGCAGAGGATGTCAATGGAGCCAACATTGACTATTCAGAGTATGTGTGTGTGCGTGTGATGAGATGGAAAGAGAGGGGGTGTATGGAGTCAAGTGCAGCAGTGAAAGGATAAATAGCAGCTGTGGGGATCAGAAAGTGCGAACAACAGGGGGAGGTTGCATTGTACCTGTCGTAGTCTCCGTTGCAGAGCGCTCGTACTGGGATGGTGAAAGGCTGCCACACTGGATTTAATGTGTTTTTCACCACCTCTGTTTTATGGCAGATAGTAAACCTAGAAGAGCAGGAGGACATTAAACAAAAGAGGCAGAGAAAGAAAATTGATTATTATTTGTAAATTATACAAACTGGGAACGAGAGAGATAAATATGCAGATGAAGGGAGGAGCGTGCAACCATGCAACTGAAGAGATGGAGGCAACAGGAGAGACGATGTCAAATCCTACAGTGACAGGAGAGATGCTTTAAACAGGGCTGCACCCAGCTTTGTTTGCAGCCTGGCTTGTATCCCAGCTGTATTGTGTTTTAGATCACAGAGAACAATTTAATATTTCACTGTGGTTTTAAAAAATTTTCCCTTGACCACAAGTGTGACAATGATATGCAAATGGTTTTCTCTGATATCTGAAATGTTTTGCAGAGCAGAGCCACATACATTCCTATCAAATACCCCCCCAAATATCCCCTCCAAAAGCAACAATGCGTATCGCTTTTTTTTTACCCAAAGCCTTGGATTACTTGTGCTCCAATAAGTGCCTCAAGCCTTTTAAAACCTTGTGAGTCCTTTATCCACACAACACTCTAATTTGTACCCCACTCTGGCATCAAGAAGATTCTTCTAGCACCTCTGTGGGGATCCATTTCCCATCCTGTTATGTATGAAAAAAAATACCGAGAAAAGCTGCAAGACGACTAACAAAGCACTTGCTAAAGCATCCCTGGCTAGATTGGGCTGACGCTGACACAACTGGAGAGCCCCTTGGGAGGATGAACAGCACTCTGGGAAAGCGTGAGGAGATGGGAGAGTGTTATGCATCCCTTATGTGAATTCCCTCAGAAACTGACAGTGTTTTTCCTGTTTTTCCTGTTGTTGGAAAATGCAGATAATGTTTTTCTTTTCTGTTGCTTTTATGCTTTTCACATTAATTGCCTGCCTTGCCTATTTGCTCCCCTGGAGTCATTTATGTAAGGCGTAATCATGGGAGTTTTGGTTGTGCTGTGAACAGGTCGCTTCCCTCTTGTGCATGCCTCAGTAACCAGTGCAGCAGCTCTCCTCTCACACTGTATAGATTCTAGTTTCAAACAAAGCACTTGCTGAAGCCTCTCTATACATATGTATATGTATATACTGTATGTATGTATGTATGTATGTATGTGTATATATATATATATATATATGTGTGTGTGTGTGTGTGTGTGTGTGTGTGTGTGATATGTTCCATTTGCTTTTGTTGGTGACTTTTTTATTGTTACTGTAACATTTTACAACAGTGTACTCTTTTACCATGGACAATGGAAATCTTTACTAGTACAAAATGCAGCAACTTTGGCGCTTTTAATAGAAATTACTCCACCTCTACATCCCAGTGGATTATGTGTGTCCCACAAAGTCTGCTTCCTCAAACACCTGCTGCTTCATTCAAAACAAAACCAAAACTACATTAAGCACTCACGTTCCATCCTCGTTGCTTCTGTAGAAGACCATGAAAGGATCTGACTTGCCAAAGAAGTCCTTCTTATCCAGCTTGTTGGCACAGAACTGCATAGTGGCGCTATCCTGCGGGGATGTATGGAGATGGAGGGAGAGGAATTAGAGATGGGTGTAGGTGGGGGAAGTGTATCACGACGTCTTCATAGATGGTATTATTTATGTGCCCTAATTCACTCTTCTTCCTCTACTTCTTCCCTCTCATCTCCACAGTTTACAGAGGAACAGCAGATGGAGGCAGCTGTCTGTGCTTCACACAATAAGAGAATGAATACTGCATGCTGGAAATGCCTCTTTTCATTTCAAAGAAAGGAATACTGTAGGGTATGTTTGTACCTGTGCGTGTGTGTGTTTGTGTGTTAACCGCTAAATATATTTCTTGACATATTGTACTGTAAATATCAGGAATATACATGCTTTTTATATGATATTTTTTTATTATATTAACGTTAGAGTAACATGTATATTGGAGAACATCATTCTGTCCAAGATAAGCATCTTTCCACTTTGATCCACTTACAACAACTCCTGCAATAATAGCCACACCAGCAAACTTGTGTGGGTGTAATGGTTATTACACAGCAGAAAACCAATACACAAGACAGATGAGAATCATACAAATTTATTTTCTTATATTTTTACCCCTAATTGGGCAAAGAATGTAAAGTTTGGCCTGAGGCTAGTGCTAGCGAAATGAACATGTTATCACCAAAATTAAAAAAGTTTTATTTTCTGCACAGAGTATCACACACAAACTCACCTTGCCTGGCTCAACTCTACATTTTTAGACTTTTCTCACCTTTCGTTACTCTATCCTGTACTTTGTCAACCTCAACTACATTTCCAACTCTACGTTGAGCATGGTAACATGTTAGCATTTTGTATGTTAGATTACCATTATGACCCAGTTATACTGAAAACCAAAACAACGAAGTAAAAGTTCTGCAGAACAAAGTGTTGATTCACAGCGGGCTTGGCAGTACTAGCAACTCCATTGCTGTATTTCTAAATATCAAAACCTGCAGAGTATTCATAATTAAATTACACAGCATTTTAAATGAACATAAGTAGAAAACGTAATAAATATTCTGTTCAGTTGGGTTCAGTGTTGGGTGATTATTTCAACCTCTTTCATGTCAACATGTCACTTCAAAGCCGCCATGAGTCACCACCTAACTGCTGGAGATGAGTACAGTTAGTTTCAACAGGGGTGTAAAAATAGTAGGACTCGATGTTCTGTCCAGTACATCCTCACACACATACAAGAACAGATTGTGTACATGCACACACTCTACACAAATACACACAGACCACAATGGAAAGTGCAGGTGTAGAAAGGAACCGAAGGCTTGCAGCATCATTTCATGAATCATATTATTGAAAATATTATAATTTACTTGAAAAATGCATTTTACCCATCTGTATGAGGACCTGGCTGTCTGTTGTTTCAGTCTGTGTTGTGTTTGAATGTCACCTGCTCACATGCTCTCTATGAACTACTGGCAGTCAGCCTACAATACACTCTAGCTTTATCTATAAACACAGCCTAATTGTCCACCAGTAGTGCATGTGTTTGTGTGCATGTGCGTGTGTGTCTTGTGCGTGTGTGTGTGTGTGTGTGAGGTGTGCATGTTCAAGTATGCAGGCATTGCAATCCCAAACCATAGAACTGTATCCACCCACCAGCAGCCCTGCTAACATTAGTGTCAGCTGCTTACCAAGTCTAATTCTAGCATGAGTAATGGTCATCAAACTAACTTCTTCTGATACCTGTCACAGCATCTGGGAAGCATCAGATACTTCGAGTGCATTTCAGCCTCAGAGAAACATCAAACATGAAGCACAGTTTCTCCTTTAGGCATTGTGCTTTTCTGATACGTTTTGAGGGCTGCTTTGCTTCTTGAATTAGCCAAATAACATGATGATGCACTTAATGCGGTTCTCAGTTTAGGAGCATGAATAGATCTTTCGTGCACCATTCAAGTTAAATTGCGTTATACACATAATTTCTGCCTCAAGTGTTATTAATAGGCAGAGAACTGCAAGATCAGTCCACCATTTTGTGAAAAATATTTTTCAGTAATTACTTCTAAATTAAGGCTGTCAAATGATTACTTTAATCACAGAATTTCTGTTATTTTTAGTGTCAGTGCCCATTGTAATCTTAATTGAAACATTTTTGCTTTTTGCATCAAAAGCGTATTAAAATCACAAATTTAATTACGATATGAAGACAGATAAATTTTTTAACAGCGCAGCAACTGCTCGACACCGTTCAGCTTACCTACCAAATACAGTGCAAATGATAGATCCTAAAAGAATATTTCACCAATTTAGTATTGCGCTGCTTTAACACAGGTAGACCCCTGATGGACAGTTTAAAAAAAAAAATTCTCAAATTTGATGCAAATTTGGTCTTTTTTATTCCGTACATTGCTCTTCCTATGTAAACTCCAATGTAACTGAACACCTGACAGTGTGGGTGGAGATTTGGGTCTGTAAAGCTGGTAGTGGCTAATATAGCCTTTAGCCGTTATGAGAGTCACAAATCCAAATCTAAATTTAAGTCCCTCCTTAGTCTTTTCACAACATTAGGGCAATAAAACATGACAATCATCTCTAAAGTCCATTCATTGTGTTTTCCTTTGAGAACAGTATGCTTTCTCTCTGTTCAGAAAAAGCCTGCTGCATGACCACATGAAATCAGATTTATAAAATTTGTCATATAACATCACACGGATTACTAAAGTATGAACAAAGGGACTGCAGTCGCAAACAGCAGCTTAAATCTTCATATTTAATGACATTAAATATCACATTCTGCTATTATCATTAGCTTGGCAACAATTAATCGGTTAACAAAATTCTTTATGCACAGTGAAGTATCTTGAGTAAAATTTACTGTGTGTGTGAAGGTGACCTAAGGCTATTGTGGATATAAAAGATAAACTAACAAACACCATAAAAAAAGCTATATTATCTACCTCAAATAAATCAAAGACCAGCAGCAGATGCTGGGAGATTAATTATCACTGCAAACTCCTCCTCTGTAGTACACCCCCTCGCTCTAACAAATAAGCCTGATGGTGCATTTTCTCCACCAGTTGTTTATCATGAAATGTAGAGCTTTTACCAAACCCCGAATATAAATCACTTGTGTGCTGTTGAGACTTGTACTACTTGTTTACTATCACCCCTCCTTGCTCTTGGCTCTCCCTGTGTGGTGGCAGTGCAGGGAAGGGACCCGACTTATCTCTGGCATATGGGCTGTAGCTAATCTCTGGAACACAGTGGGTTCATTACAGTACATTCAGATGCTAAAACAGTAGATTGCTGTTGTTGTCAGAGCCCAAGGCTTTACACTGGGCAGCCACAGTGCCACTAATGATAGCTTAATAGCTTTTTAATGTTGCAGCTTGCACCTTGTGTCTGGTTGCGTGCCGAGTGGCAAATCAGCAGAAGAATGTGCATGAGGTTGCAAGTGTGAAAGACTGCGTGTAAGAGTGAAAGCAGGAATGTTTCTGTGCACATATGCCGATACCCATTTTAATGCCTGTATGCATCTTGCCACTGTGTACTCTGTTTCTTTATCACACACAGCCAGGCAGTGTGCAGCACACACTTCCCCCTGACAGACTCGTGAACAGATCCACTCCACTCCAGCTGCGGGAGGAACTTTATCTGTATTCCTGTCCTCACCCTGAGGATACATACACACCACTTGTCTGCCATTTGACACAACCCCCCCCCCCTACACAAAACATCAGACCCTACTATCCCACTCTGTTTCATTATCTTTATAACACTCATTTAATCCTCTGGGGGAATGTTAGTTCCTATGTTGCGTACTGATTGTCAGAAGCAGCTACATGCTCATATCATCAGAACTGTGGAAATAGAAATATTTGCTGTAGCAACAGATTTCATTTAATCCCTGTCTCTTTCTGCCTGTTTTCTGTTTCAACAAGTGCTTGACTTCAACAAGTGCTGACTGTGACTCAGTCTGCACATGAAAACAGTGTTCAGTCTTCCAGTTTAGATTGCAGCACTTATAAAGTTTTAAAACTCTGAGGACATATTACAGCTAATGAAAGTGATTAAAGAAACAGCCACAGGCTCCAGTTTTTCACTCCCAAGGCTACAGTGCAACAGTGTCGTAAGATCGCAGCCTTCATTCAGTCTAATTTTAGAGACAGTCAGTTTTCCTGTCTGAAAACAACAAAACTAATTTTGGGTGTAAAAAATGAAATATATGGGAAAGTAAAGAGACTTGTTGAGATTGTCAATTATTAACCCAGAAGTAGACAGTGAATCCATGCAGTGCAAGTTCATTCGTTACTGTGAGCAAGTTTGTCAGTAACGTCACAACAATGACAGTAAATGGAGCTGACACTTACTACAGCAGATAAAATGTAATCTCACTGGCAACATTTACACTAAGCCTGTGAGGTCCTCAGGGAGTGCTGTACATTCATCTGCTGCAGCCTGACAGTTTCTATTTTTCTAGCATGTATTAAGTAAAATGTCAGGTTGCCTTAGTAACCACATTGACCATGTCATGTTAACCCCAGCACATTTACTCTTCTCTGAGAAAAAAAGGTTTTAGATATAGATCAGTTAAACTATCAGGAGGAGAATGAGAGAACAGACTGGTTTTATATAGAGATGATAACAATGAGACCATTCTGTGACTCGCCGATTAAGTTGTTCACGGTAGCGAACAAGCGAAATCTGGCAACACTGCCGCTCTGAGTCCGGAGGTGGAAGGATACACCAGGAAATCTCTGCGGAGCTAATGGGCACATAAAAGCATTTATGATGATGGAATGTGTTGGGGATATTAAATATGCATCTGTTCCTGCCTCATTAAGCTTCTGTGGCACGAACACACTCTGTTGCAAAGGTCTGTGATCAACAGCCATTTGCTAATATGGAGAGAATCAGAGTATCAATATTTAAAGAGGGGGGCCAGGCTAGGAAGGGACACGCTCACACCCTCTGTGGAGTAATGATGGTGTGTTTGTGACAGGAGAGAAGAGCCGTGTGTGTGGGAATGTGTGTTTCTGTGT